ATATACTACTTCAATGCTCTGTTCCCCGACAGCTCAGTATATCAGAGAAAGATATACTTGATGTTTGCAGTACCTCACTATGACACACTATGCCACAAATGACAGCTTGGTCTTCTATTTAGCATTAATCAAAACATTTAGTTGAGTGGCAAAATACGGCTATTTACAGCAGCATTTTTTATGCATCAGTACATTAACTGGGCATATGGCCGAAAACCTGCAGAAATATCTCTCTCTTCCCCTAAACATTTTGCAATATGTTCAAATACCAGGTGAAACAAATGGTTATTCTGAATTCTGCTTATTATATCTAACCATTTATCAAAATAAAAATCAAAGGCACTTTTGTCAAACACAGTATGGGAACTTGCTCATTTAAACACCTCAGTACATTTACTCTTCTAAGCCAAATACAGAAAAAAAAAACTTGTCAAACAACAATATAAGCTGGACTTAATATTTTTAGCAGAGAGAATTTCATTAGCCCTATATATAAACCAATGACAATAAAAGAGTTATTTAAAACAGTAAAAATTGTATCTATATGCATATAATTTTCTGAGTATGTCCAAACAACATTCATAAAGTATATGAACAACGGAGCTGCTTGTGCATTTGCTATTTTCTTTTAGTAGCGAAATTTTGCACATTGTCCCGTTTCGTGCTCTCTATATTTATAAATATTTTACTCCGGGAAGCCTTTCTTATTGATATAAACATTCAGTGCAAAGGAAGAACCAAATGAACAAATTTCTTCTACCTATAATTAGGTAGATAATCATACTAATTAATTGAACGTATGGTGTTTTGTAAGTAAAGTATATAGAAAAGGCTGCCTGAACTAAGTACCCTCTCATCAGCACACAAAACAACTGCTGCACAAAACAGAAAAAAAGATTGCAGTGAAAAGCAAAACATTGTTATTTATAGCTGTGCATTAAAGAGGGACTGCGAATATGAAAATGTTCCCCACACAACCTGTTGGACAAGTATTTACTCATTTTCATTTACATTTCTTTTTTTTTTTTTTTTAATCATTTTATCATGACTGTGGTTACACTGTTATCTCCTGTCTATGCAGGTTATCTTATCAAAATGCCCCAGATAAAAAACATATAGTCTGCACACAGTCCAGTCTACCAAATAATCACTTTTTTATGCTTTCTTGCTCTGTTAATATCAGATACATTCCCAGATGAACAAGATGCTACACTACTCCTTCTGAGTGAAAAGAAAACACACTATGCATATCACTGTTCTCCTGATATTTTATGTCAAGTGAAAATGTTGTGCAGGAACCACACCTCTTAGGAACTTCATTATTTTCTACTTCACATTTTTCATCCATTCTATGTATTTTATATATACTGCTAGAAAACCTTTATGTCAAAAGAAACCAACCCTACTATATTAGTAGTACAATTGTTTCCACACGGCATCATAACCTTTGCACAGTAATTTAATATTGTAGCATTGTCCTCTAGTCCTTTGGATTTCTTTCATCAATAGATTCATTTCCTAATCTATCTTGAGATGAACAACAGCTACATCAAATGACACAGAAGACGTTTAACCTATTACACCTAGCTATCCAGATTTCAACAGTATTGATAACAATACTTTTTCATGACAGGTTTAATATGTGAGGACTGAATACACTCTTACATTCTCTTCTTTCCTGAATAACTACAAACAAATTCAGAAAAGAATGGCCACACAGACTGAAATTGGTGTGTCTACAAGTGAGACTGTATGATACACAAGACATTGTTATCACTGTCTTCATAGTACACACATTGCTGCAAATACATTCATGGTATCTCCTCCAAGACTGGAAATCTTTAATATCTGAATAGCCTGCTCTGCAGTAAAGGATGCACCAAGGACAATTTTAGGGATCACCAAATACTCCAAACATGTATTGTATCGATGCTTTCTTTCAATTATTTTATTATTAATTAATCTCTATTTCAGGATAATGATATAAATCAACAGACAGATGCCATGAAATGTGCAATAAAAGTATATGTGAACACAGAGATCAAAACAGAAAATCCAAATGCATGTATTTTTCAGATTTCCTGCTTCTTTCAAGGAAAGCTTCTAGAGTTGAAAGATGAGCTTGAAAAAAATAAATAAATAAATAAATAAAAATAAAAATAAAAATAAAAATAAAAATAAAAATAAAAAATAAAATAAAGGACACTCCTACTCAGTCTTAGGAGCCAATGTTCCAGAGTATGGAAATACATGTGCCTGGGATCTTTTGACAGAAGTTTCGGAAGCAGAACTAGATGTTTCTACACAAACAGTACAGGAGTTTGTGTACTTGAGGGTAATGCTTGTCTCTGCTCTAAATGTTGCAATGAATGTACAGACTTTTTCTGGTCTTTTAGCTAGAAAATGATACCTTCAACTGATTAGAATGTAGAACCATTAGTTATAACTTTCTGTAACGCTAGGCAGCCAGGTGCCAGCACTCAATGCGGTTCTTCATGTTTTGGTCTTTTGGACGTTAATGTATTGCATCAGCAAGTAGGAACAACCTCAGGACTGAAAAATCTCTTCCTTTAATTGATATTCCTTCAATGGACTGGTAGAAATTCCAAGTTCCCTGGGAAGAGAGTTCAGTATAGTATGTATAAACATATATAAATATTACAATATGAACTTTTATAATGCATTTTACATCAGATATACAGCATTGATTCATTTTGACAGTATTAATAACCTCATGATTTTCTTTTATTGTCTGCAATTAAGACAAGGGTAACTGATACTGCCAGCGTGCAATATTGTACATGGCCTTCATAACACATTAGTTGCTTTGTACTGTATCAATAAATGTGGCCATCGAATGATATCATAATAGTTACATAAAGGTTTATTTAATCCTTTACTAACATTAAAGCTATACAAATCTTCACACTTCATTTATATACCTGCAACAATGAAATAAAAATATTTCTGTAACCATCGTGGCTCTGGAATCAGTAAAATTTAGAACACTAGTAAAATTAATTGTATCAACTTTATTTTCAAGCAACACACATATCATATAAAACTCAAATCTCAGCTGAAAATAACATTTTACAGTTCAGTTAACTGCAAGAGGTTTGAGCATATATAGCAAAATTAATCATTTACTATATTTTAACAACAGAAGATTTAATTTATAAACTGTCCAAATAAAACACTGATTTCTACAGAAAAAAAAAAAAAAAAAAAAAAAAAAAAAAAAAAAGCTACTTGAGCTACTTGAATAACAATTAGGATGGAAAATCCTAAGGGGCATATTGTGAACATGTACATATATCTACAAATAAAAGGGTTCAGAACCTGCAATTTATGAATATCAATATACATATCACTGTTGTGTTTATATGATTCACCTGCCCCTTCTTTGCACACTGGGAAAACAAAACAACTCTAAACTTCAGAGAAAGAAAAAAAAAAAAAACATGTTTACAGATGACTACATCCACAGATTCACATGTTAAGGTCTAATTCATTACACTACACTTTTGGATCTTAACTACAGTGCCCAGTTTGGCCAGCCCAAAGAGAGATCCAGATTTTAGGGGGGATTCTCCACAGACTAGGCTATACTCATAAGCAAAGCACCTCAGATACACTTAGGGTTAGGTAGGAGGAATCCAGTTCTAAGTTCCCACTTCTTTTTCCTAATAGGAAGAGCTACAAAACAGTTTGAAGAGACTATCTCACTCTGTGAGACTATCTCCCTGCCTATGGAGGACTCCAAGCCTAGAATTCAACAGCTAATTTCAGATGCCTGAGCTCAATGAATCCTGCCTCTGGTTTCTCCTCACACAGCAAATGGCCATCAAAACCAAAACCATGTATCTATCCCACCATAAACATGCTGTTATACTATGCCAGTACCATTTTGTATGTTCACACTGGGAATTACCATCAGGAAACACAGGTGGATAACTGCAGCCCCAGCAGCATGGCATTGGCTGCCCAGGACAGGGGCTGGCTGTCTCCACACTCCTTTTCATGCTGACGGTGGGCAGCTTTGATCATAGAATCATTAAGGTTGGAAAAGACCCCCAAGAACATTTGATCCAACCATTACCCTACCACTGATGTCACCCACTAAACCATGTCCCTAAGCACCACATCCAACCTATCCTTAAACACCCCCAGGGACAGTGACTCCAGCACCTCCCTGGACAACCCGTCCCAAAGCCTGAATGCTCTTTCTGAGAAGAAATGTCTCCTAACTTCCAACCTAAACCTCCCCTGGCTCAACTTGAGGCCATTCCCTCTAATCCTAGTTATCTGTGAGAAGAGGCCAACACACAGCTCCCCACACTTTCAAGTAGCTGTAGAGAGCAATGAGGTCTTCCCTGAGCCTCCTCTTCTCCAGACTAAGCAACCCCAGCTCCCTCAGCCGCTCCTCATAGCACTTGTGTTCCAGGCCCCTCACCAGCACACAGTCAGCCCTCCCATGTTCTCAGTCGCTCCCAGTGACGCGTCAATGCCACATAAGGGCAGAAGGGGCCCTTAAAATGCGTGGTTGGCCGCTGGTTCGACAGCTACACAGACTGGGCTCACTATGCGATGGAGTTGCCACTGAGCAGCTGTATAAGCTGTGCGCCTCACACACCAGTCTGAGCATCCCTAAATTTGTCAGTAGTGTCGTTCTTCTCATTCCGTCAATGTCCCCAGAAACACCCCAAAAGCCTGGCTCGCGCATTAAGCCAAGTTTAATTTACGTTCTCCGCACTAAAAATAAAAGTAAAAAAAAAGTAAAAATAAAAATAAATAAAATAAAAATAAAAATAAAAATAAAAATAAAAATAAAAATAAAAATAAAAATAAAAATAAAAATAAAAATAAAAATAAAAATAAAATAAAATAAAAATAAAAATAAAAATAAAAATAAAAATAAAATAAAAATAAAAAAGCAACCCCGCAGACCGGGGGCAGCCGGGCCGGGAGGGGGCGCTGTGGGCCGCTGGGGGGGGGGGGGGGGGCTGCGGCGAGGAGCTTTGTCCGCGCTGGCGGCCCGTAGCTCGCCCGGTTGGGCCGACGTGTAAGAGGAGGGCGGCCATGGCGGCCGCCTGGGAGGAGATCCGGCGCCTGGCCGCCGACTTCCAGCGGGCGCAGTTCGCTGAGGTGGCCCAGAGGTGAGCGGCGCCGCGCCGGTGCCCGCAGCCCGCGGCAGGACCCCGAGCCTCGCCCCACGGCCTCCCCCCAGGCCCGGCAGCAGGGCGGGGGGAAGGTTTGGGGGGGGGGTGTTGGGGAGTTTTGGGGGGCGGGGGGGTTTGGGGGTCCCCAGGGGCGTGTTTAGGTCCGGGGGAGACGCGGAGTCCCGGCCGGTAAACATCCTCAGGCCCAACGCTCTGATCCGTCAGCAGTTCGGTAATAGACTCTGTGGCCCAGAACTCGTTTATATTAAAAAAGAAATAAAGTACGAGGAAAATAAAGAGGTGTATAAGGGCAGTAAAGAAACCCTGTAAGCGCAGCCCTGCCCGCCTTCACAGGAAGGTGCGATCCTGTTGTGGAAGGGGCTGACAGCTGTTGGGCAGTGGAAGTCACCTCCCAGCGATGATTCAGGCACGAAAAGCTGCGTGGGTGAGTTGTGGGGCATCAGAAAAGTAGGAACACTGAAGTGGACTGTCATAAGAAATATTTGATGCACAGAACAGCGAGTAATCAATTTATCCCCTCTGTACAGTATTTTTAAAGCAAGCATTTAAAGTTTGTGAGTGCTTGGAATAACCTGTTCTTCATGCTGCTGATAGGTTGTCAGAACGGAACTGTATAGAAATCGTCACTAAACTGATCGCAGAAAAGCAGTTGGAAGTGGTGCATACACTGGATGGAAAAGAGTATGTCACGCCAGCACAGATCTGTAGGGAGATTCGGGATGAGCTTCATGTTAGTGGTGGTAAGTGTCACATCTGCTTTTCTTCTCTTGGAAGTTAATATTGAAGGCTATGGAAAGAATTTGATAGTTTTTTCAGTACCCAGAGTATTTCAAAAAAGTGATCATGCTCTCTCTTGCTTCATCTACGTGTGAATTTGTTTATTTTTTTTTTTCAAATCTGTATTAGGCTTTTAATTAAACATACCAAGATACATTACTTGATTCTTTTTTGCCTATGTAGAATTTCTGAGGTGCAAATGGTCTATATTAACCCACTTGAAGGGAAGTTTGCATTTTAGTATCTGGCCCAGATGTTTGCCCTGGGCTCAGAATTTCAAAACCACTCTCTGTTCACATCATTAGTTGTAATAATTACATTTTTAAATTATCGTTGCTGATGTTTGACTGTAGCATCATGCAAAGGTAAGAAGCTTTGACAGCCTCTGTGTTAATACTCATGGACTAGTGGTCAAATTTGATCAGCATCAAGGCAAAACCAGTCAGGAGGGAGCTGAAAAAGTGATTTTTTTTATTTTTTTTTTTCCTGGGGTTTCTGTATTGGGTTGTCAGCAAAGCCATAGTGTAGAACAGCATGGGGTATCTTGCACTTACCATAAGTGATTTCTGTGATTTGTCAATATTTAAAGCTGAAATTGGTTTAATTAGTCTACAAAGTAGTGAAGTGTTCTGTACACAATAGACAATGCTGTATTTTAAACCTGCTCAAGTATGTTTTATATACTAAAAGTATATTTTTACTTTTTTTTTTTTTTGAAGGTCGAGTAAACATTGTTGACTTGCAACAGGTAACTTTTTAGTAATAAAAAAAATACATTCTTCCTTTTTTTTATCATGTCTATTGTAAATGTGGACTTCATCAGTCACACTCATTTTTTAATAAGAGAACAGTTTATGAAGAGCTGGTAGCCCTTCTCAGAGTACTGCAGATTATTTAACACACCCATTTGCTGTTTTATGTAGAGTTCCTTTGTACTTAATGATACTCTGTGATCTGTGAAATCAGCACCAAAATAAATGGATTTTCTTGATGGTCTCTTCCTTTGCAGACTAAGGGGAAAAAAGAGTTGTTTCCCATTTAAATCTAAAACTGTGGGAGCATGCATAATTAACTTTACATGCGTTTTTGGATCCTCCCTCTTCCTTCATTAATCTCTTGTCTCCACTAACCTTTATCCTCCAGTAGTCTTCTTCTGTGACTAATTTTCCCTTCTGGCAAAGAAAAATCACTTAGAATCAGAAAACCTTTCTGAAAGACAATTTAATATTTTCTGTTCATAGCTTTCTGCAATTTCGTATTGCATAGCTTTCTGTTAACCTTGTCACAGTTGAAAAGAGTATTTTTACCCAGTGAAGATTTATTCCAAATCACGGATTTGCAGTATATGTATGCAGTACTAGAAAAAAATAAAAGCAGCTTTCCTTAGGACATAAGAATATGTAAGTATAATAGCTCAATGTTTAAGAATTGCTTTCAATTTAAAATTCTTATAACAGTTTTGTTGTTTGTTTGTTTTCAGATAATAAATGTGGACCTTCTGCACATAGAAAACAGAGCTAATGATATCGTTAAATCAGACAAAACTATTCAGCTTGTGCTGGGACAGCTTATAAATGAGTGAGTGCTTTCAGGAGCAACATTTATAACTCAAATCTTGTCTATTTTTTGAAACACAGGCTAACAATGAGAGTCAGCCTTTGTTGTTTCTGAGGCAAAATATATTTTTCTTGAATGCTATTACAGCTGCTTGGTGATAAGTGTTTATTTTCAAAATGGCTAGTGATGCCAGTCTGAAGGTATTCATTGAAGCCATGGGACAAAGGCATTCTGAATGTCTCTGCCCAGTATTCAGAGGTTTTATTTCTTATTTCTTCATGTTTTTGTGCTCAGAAGACAGATCTCATTTGTTCTGTGGGTTTGCTGTCTGCCTCGGCTGTTGACAAACCTCATTTTCACCCACCTCTTGCTTTACCTCACAAGCCTAAGATGTATGAGTTATTTTGTGGCTTTCAACATGCCAACAAACACTGAAGTAATACTGTTATGGGGCTGTCTCTGTTATTGATTGCATTGCAAGATTTATTCTTGGCAAAGAACGTGTATTCATGGCTTTATTGAAACAATTAAGACATACTATGTTTACTAAAGCCCTTTTTCTAAGTCTCATTGTCATAAAATGTTTTCCTGTTTCTTCTTTTTTGACAGATTCATACAAGCAGGTAAATGACCAATTTTAATACTAGCTGCCTTGATTACAAGGCTTTTAAAAACACACATTTTCACTGGCATCTTTCTCTTTTACTCAAGTAAAATAACTTCTAGTTTGTTTTTGAGAATATGCACCAGAACAGGGTATAGTGCCAGGCCAATTAATAATTCATCAGGGGAAGTGCATGTGGATAACAGGTTGACTTTGAATTTCACATCAATTTCATCTCTTATTTTTTCCCTCGATTTTAAATAAGGAGTTACCTAGACCAATTAGCAGAAGAAATAAATGATAAACTACAAGAAACTGGCCAGGTGACAATATCCGAACTCTGCAAGGCATATGACCTTCCAGGAGACTTCCTGACACAGGTGATGGAACCCACCAACCTATCAAACGTAGAATCAATTGTGTTCACCTTCTTTTGTCATCTTTGCAGTATCCATGGCTTTAATTGTGACAGGCTGGTTGTCATTCTAAGCAGAAAAGAATTACTATGTAAAGGTTGCAGTGTGACAGCTATTGACAGATTGAGATTGATGTTTGCCTTTTCAGTATTGGGCAACATTTCTTCAGGGTCTTTTTGAGTGTTAGGAACAGAGGGATAAGTTAGACTCGTGGAAGAAAATTTCACTGTTTGACATATTAGAAGATGTAAGGGTAAATTCATCAGTCCCATTAGCTAGGCAGGAGGCAGAAATACAACGGTAGAGACTTCAGTTTATTCAAGAAGGGTAAAATAAACATAGTTTTTTGTAGCTGAAGCCAGGCATTCATAAAAACTTTTGTTAGTGACTATCTTAAGTGTTTAAAAGGATTAGGGAGAATCAGAGACTTTCAGTCAAGGTTGGATATTTTTTGGAAGATACTTTTTTCAAAGGGTAGTTCTGTGGCGTATTAAGTGAGTAGTCATATTAATAACAACTTTGCTGATTCTTAATTTGTGAACAGAATTCCTCTAATGTTTATTACATGGTTAGCTTCTACAAAAAACATTTCTAAAAATGAAAATTATTATATGTTTTTTCCTTCTTTTTTGGGCAATGCTGAAGGTTTAGTTCAATTTGCACATTTATGAAAACCTTTTTTGTGTTTATTGCTAATTTACTTCTTGTCTGTTTGAAAAAATTGATAGTGAATTTCTCTGCCTCTAGTTCATACAAAATAAATAGAAACGTTAAAATGTAATTTTGAGTGTGCATCTCCAAACCACATGGATTTCTTTTGCAAAGTTTTCTGTATTGGATACATACATTGTAATCCTTTTAAGACAGACAGAAGAGAGCATTATTAGGAAAGCTGAATTCACTGATTTGAAGTGTGGGCTATAATGGCATCAACATAATGACATCAACATACATACAGTTAGACACATTCTCAATATATCTAATAATTAGTTTTGCCTTTTTCAGCACAACTATCTGTTTTGTCTGTTAATACAGATTTCTTAAATCGTATCTGTTTAACATTGCTTAGCTAAATTACAATTTTAGCAATCATCCCTGCTTCTATTTACAGGTATTATCCAGGCGTTTGGGTAGAATTATTCATGGACGACTAGACCAGGAAAACCGTGGGGTGATTTTCACAGAAGCCTTTGTTTCCCGGCATCGAGCACGCATTCGTGGTCTCTTCAGTGCGATTACTCGGTAAATTGCAGCACTTGCAACCACGTATTAAAACTTTTTTTTCCATAGTTCTTTAAAGACCAAATTCACTTGAGACTGAGAAAGAAAAGAAACTCATGGATAGCTTTCTTCAGATATAATTCAGTTCCAGGAGAGCAAAGAAAGTATAACTGAGACATATTTACATTTTTTCCAAAAAAAAAAAAAAAAAAAGATTTTGTTTGTTTGGAGAATATCTATCCTTACTGTCATTCTACTGCTCCCCTGTCAATTATGTATTAGCATCTACCCAGTACACATTTCTGTAGGAAATGTTTCTTAATAGATCGAAAAACTTTTGTGTCAAGTTGCACGAAGAAAAAAAGGTTGCTTATGGTAATTATCATAGCTCTGTTATATTTTATCATAGTAATTTACAATTAAAACCTTGTCACCTGTGTTAATTGTCAGTGTAGCAGAGTGGGGCAAAGATACTACTACATAGTTTTGTCCATCTGGAATAACCTCTTGTTTCTAGATTCTTCACATCCATATCAGGTCATTTAGTCATATTGTTTTGTTTTTCTTTTTTCCGAGGCCTACACCTATAAGTAACTTGATCACTCGGTATGGATTTCAAGAACATTTACTTTACTGTGAGTTTCATTCAGACTGTTTTGTATTTTTGTTAGTTAATTCAGAGATGCTTCATTACTAGAAGTGCACCTTCAAAGAGGCATTTTAGTATATACCACTAATTCTGGAGTAAAGAACAGTATGCTTCTCTCTAGTGTAAAAAGTGTTAAACATTTTGTGCTATCCATAACTGAATAGATGTTCTCTGTATCTAAAGCAATGAAAGCATATAGTAATGAAATGCCTCTAGGGGCAGGATGATGCAAGAAGTACAGTACTCGTTTTGTCATCTGTTACGTTATTTGCCCTTAGCTACTGGCAATTTTATCAGTGAAGCACACAAAAGGGGACAGATTTTGTGTATCCAAACAGCGTTAACTGCTCTGGACTTCATTTATTGACTTTTCTCTGTGATAGCAGAGGCAGAGCTTTTGTTACAGTCATAGTTAAACGTCTTTATATGCTCAGAGATAAAGCATGCTCTTAAACTGTTTACCTTTATTTTCTGCAGCTCTTTAAATAGAAATTCATAAAGATTTCCTATCCAACTACTGAAACTTGTAGGCAGTACTTAATTGTTTCTCACTTCTAATATTTCAGCTTTTCTTTGACCACGAGGAATCCCCTCCCACTTCTTCAAGATGATGCTTCAAGCATCATTAATCTTGTGTGTTGGCTGACCAAGTGTTGTAGCTGTACAGAATCCTTTAATGGTTTTCCATCCCTTCTCATGAAAGTTAATCTCTCTCTTCTGTTTGAGTCTTTTCGCCTTCAGGGCATTGCATACTTGAGATCACCAGGAAAATCTCTGCTTACTTTCTTGCTTTGTTACAAGTATATTCATTACAAATGAAAATGTTAGCAGTTAAATCAAATCATATAAATGCCCGGCTTTCATATAATCAAATTAAGGTGTTTTTTTTTTCCCTAGGAATGTGTTGTCCAGCTATCAGTAGATTAAAAGGAAAATCTGCTAAACTGCATTACAGCAATGTTGCAGTAGGCAACAAATTTCAGTATGCAGTTAGTCTTTTTACAGGCTCTGCAAGTACATGATTATGTATTGCTCATGTACAATGTTAATTTGAATTGAAGTTCGAGTATTTTCCTGTCACAAACAGTCAGCACAATGGCTAAGTGTGTTTCTAGTACTGTCTCTATTTTTAATGAGTTAGTTCATCTTTTTCTTTAGTACTTCTTACTGTATTTAATTCCCTCTGATGTATTTAATTCCCTCTGATAGGTTTCAAAGAAGTTTTTATTTATTGCCAGAGCTCATTTGATCAATTTTTCAGAGGTACCACATCAGTTCATAGAATTATAAAATTGTTTGGATTGGAAGAGACCTTAATGACCAACTAATTCTACCCACCCCTGCTGTGGTTTCCTTTGCCATAGCCAGGGAAAATAATTGATAATTATTGAGTATATTAAAATAATCAATAGAACTCAGTAATGTTTCACTGGAACTTTCCACAAATGTTGGAAACTTGAAAGTATCTTTTCAATGACATTATTTATACTCCTTACCTTTTATCTTTGTCATTATTAGCAGTGTGTTTTAAAGTAGTAGTTGTGAGTTTTGCCTCTTCCAGACAAAACTGCTGCAGAACTTGGCAGCTGATTTATTTTATTTTTTAATGTACCTAGTGACTTATGTTCTGCTTTTCCCTTTTCATAATAGGCAGATCATACATTCCCATGTGCCTTTAATGGAATGAAAATACCGTAGTTAGCATGAAGAAAGGTTTAGTACTTTGGTTCTACCAGATAACAGTACATTCTTTGTAAGCAATATTTGTTCGTTACAAACAAGGAATTTATTACTGGCAACGTTGTGAACATTTTAAACCATAAAGACAGCAAAATTGTAAAATTACTCATTGTAAACCGTATGATAGGTGCTAACATTTATGCATTTTAGATAGCAGTTTTTCATGTCTTTTTAGTATGTTCAGATCTCTCTATTTTCCATATTGTCTAACATGCAAACAGTGAATGCAAAGAGAACACTATTAATAAAATACTCTTATATTATATTGTCTCCTCAGAGAACAAACCTTTTATGACTGCGTTTCTTAAATTAAAAGCTGAAACTGTCCAGATCTATGTTGAATAAAGAGACTTTTGATCCTTCCATAGTGGCGCACTCTTTCAGAACGTTGGATGATTTTGTGAGCTTTTGTCAAGAAATTCTTAGAAGTGCTAAAAATAATGGATAGAACTTGATAATGTTTCATTTGAACAAGCACTTGTAGTTTGGTCTCTAGTTTCTTTCTATTAATAATAAAAAGAAAAACAACTAATGAGGGGGAAAAGAAGAAACAAAACGGAGAAAATAATTGCTATGTTTAGATTAATGGATACATCAAAGTGCAAAATGTCACTTCATTTGTTTTTCTTTCTTTTAGCTGTGCTAGAAGAACTTGTTAACGCTGGTCGTCTAAAAGGCACCGTGGTTGGTGGGAAACAGGATAAGGCTGTGTTTGTTCCAGACATCTATGCCAGAACACAGAGCAACTGGGTGGATTCCTTTTTTAAGCAGAATGGTTACTTAGGTAATTAATCTTTGTTCTCTTGGATAAAATATCTTTCTAAAGTTAGTATACATATTTAGTCTTACTTTAATATAGATACTATCTAGTGTGAAGCTTTGCAAGTATAAGTGGTAATAAGTACAGTTAATACTCCTTTTAAAAGACCAGTCTTGGTTATAGTTGTGTTACTTCAGCACAAGGAACCATATTTCAGCAGAGAGAACCATGATGCTAAACAGTAACTTTATTTCACACAAAGGGTGTTAAAAATGCTACTTCTATTACTGTTCTGAAAACATTTCTTAAATAGACTGCTTGTAGTGGACTTTTCAGGTGGTTGTATTTGGCCTATATAATTGGGAATAGTAGGTCCGTTATCCAGATTGCAAACAAACATTGACTGTTTGTTGTCCTGATAGCCAAGAATGCAGTGCGCAGGAAGAACCTTTACCACAGTAAGATTTGCAGAACTGGAGTGGATAGGAGTGTTCTGGTATGAATCCAGATATGTCTATCTGACTTAAAGCTGACTGATGCCTGGTGATGGCGTTTTAAAACGGGAGCTGTGGGAAAATGTGGACCTGAATAAAAAGGGGAGCATACCCTTATGGTCCCAGAGGGCCATTTATTATCTTGCATTTTGAATAGGCTCAACATACTTTGCTACATACTGTAGTACTTTTAAGTGCTTCCGTAATATTGCTCAACTAAGAGTATCCGTCAGAGTCTTTAAATGTTTTCAGAACATCTAAGTTTAAACTGCCAAATACTTTAAATGCTTTTCTTGTGAGGCACTGAACAATTCTACAAGTATATTGGGTTAATTTTAGAAAACATAAGATTTTGACATTTTCCATATTGTAAATATTGTTCATGCTATGTTAGAATAATTTGGGAAGATGTCATTGCAAAGATAAATGTAGTGGTTTAAGAATCTGAAAGAAGCATTTTTTTCTAAAACTTGGACTGAAGTCATGTCCATGGTTTATTCTTCATAGTTCTGTTGACTGCGTTTAGCTGTAGCTTGTATTGAAGCAAGTTTTAGGTCAGCATCAGCTTGAAGTTGCACTTGGGCATATAGAAACTATATGTAATTCTTTTTTTCCTGCTTTTCTTGAAAATTGCTATATAAGATACTGTAAGTAGCATGAGTAGTATAAGAAGGAATTTAAATTTAACACATTTCTGACTGTTTTGTAGAATTTGATGCGTTATACAGACTTGGAATCCCTGACCCATCAGGCTACATTAAAAAAAGATACAAGTCCACAAAACTCTTATTTCTGAGAGCAGCTTGTGTTGGTCAAGAAATTGTGGATCAGGTTGAAGCTTCTGTAGAAGAAGCCGTCAGTTCTGGAACCTGGATAGATGTAGCAGTAAGTGATCCTTTCTGTTGGTGTTAGATTTAACTGCTTTGTCTTACTTTTGTGTCAGATGATATTTTATTGAAGCTACATTTATGTTTAATGTAAATCCCATGTTGTCAGACAAAAATATTCAGACAAAATGTCATAACAAACAGACTTTATTTTCCTTTACATTAGTCTGAACAAAAGCAGAGGAAGGCTATGTCAGTACTCATCTGATAGATACCTAAGACTAACTTCTCATTTTAAATTTAATGCTAATGTTTTTTGCTAGAGAGCAATATATATTTTTGGTACTCTTGTGGAAAAAGCCTTAAACTGAAGTCTTACTGAAGTAAACTGAAGTAAATTTCATTTCACTAAGGGATATTAACCATTTTGTCCTAGATAAATCCTTATTTTAGGCTTTAGAGTACCACTTTGTCTCCTGGAAGGAGGTGTGTTGTTGTTTTGTATCTGGTGTTACTCTTCATTTCTTGAGCTGCATTTTGAAGAAGTTGGTGTACGGATGTAGCACTGATCAACTTGAGCGATGTTTTTGGGATGTTAGGAGATTTAAGTAGTGTTTACTCTTGAATTACTCATTTAATGTTGTAAGTGAAATATATTTTAAGTAGCTAAGAGCAAATCTGTTTATCCACACGTCTGTCCATTCCAGAATACATTATTGTATGTAAATGACTTCTATGTTCTTTACCCTAGACTCTTCTGCCAAGTTCATTATCAGCAGAAGATTGTGGAATTTTGCTTCAGCAAGTGATGAGATCTTTGAACAAAAACTCTTCCGGTTTAGTCTTCAGCGACACCATTGTAGTCAGTGAGAAATTTCTAAGCAGCTGTACTGATCTGTTTTCTGATATGATGAAACAGAAAGCTGAAAAGGTACAGTTTTTCATTGGTCAAGATGCTACGTTGAATTTTGGAGCATAGTTTGATTGTCTTTGTGTGTGCTGTTACCATCTCTTTACTTCTCATCTGAAATACAGCTTAAGAAGACAAGCAAAAAATGAGGAAAGAGTTTGTATATGCAGTTGGTGTACTTTAGTGTATATTCAAGGAACATCATCACAGTTAACAGTATGATCAGATACTGAGTTTGGATAGAGGACTAAATACATCTTCATGTGTTGGTCTTGGAAAACATCATGTTAGATTAGTATACTCTGAAATGGCTTAAATATTCCTGTATGTATCTTTAGTTGCTGTCTATCTTTCCTACTAAGTGCATGTCCTTTTTTGTAGGAAATGAAAAATAATCCTGTTCACTTAATCACTGAAGAAGATTTAAAACAGGCTTCTGTTTTAGAAAATTCAAATGCTAATAAAAAAGACAAAAAAGATGACAGAAGAAGGAAGGCAACTGGTAAGTCAATGTTTTGCTTATGCAAAAAAAAAAAAATGTTTAGCCTTAAAAATATTTAATTATGAAGTTATTCTGTTTTGTAGTCCATTAGTTTCCTCCAGTCCATTGCTGAAGATACTTCAGGAAACAATCCAACCACTTGTCATGATTATACTGTAGTTGTAGATGTATCTGAGCTATGTACCTGAGAACTCATTTCAGATTCAGTGCAGATGAAGTACCATAAAGAAATCCTGAGTTAGTCCAGCACAAAGCACATGGCTCTAGAAATGGAATCCGTGTTCATCTGTTTGTGTATATGGTATATTCACACAAGAATGAGTTGTATGTGAGGTCCCGTGGAACCAGCTCAGAGACATCTGTACCATTTTTTACTACACAGTGTAGATACACTCTTATTCTCTACACTTTCAGGGATCCAGAAAAATTAAAATATTTCTTAAGAGTGTTCAGAAATTACTTCCAAAATCATCTGGTCTAACTTCAGAAATGAGATACTAAGTTTTTTTTTTGTTGTTGTTTTTGAGAATGTTATGCTTCTTTTTGAGAATCCCATGCCAATAATTTTATGTTTGCATACATAACAGTCATTTGGAGATTCACACAATTTACTTTATGGTATATTGTGTGTTAAATTAATTCCATGCTTTATTCCACTTGTGTGGTGGCTGTTTGGAATAAATTTTAATTTGAGGGAGAATAAAAATGTGTAGCTTAAAAAACCCTTTGAAATCTTTCTAGTTTTTAAAACATTTTTCGGACTAAACACTGTATTTTCAGTTCCAGAAATTTTACATGACTGTTGTGTTGCTACAGCACAGCTGAGCAATCTATGTTGAACCCACATGCAGAGTTTTATATGCTATTGAAAGCAACAGAGCATTGATGCATCTAGCTTAATTGAATATACTAATTTGAAAAATAAAACATAAGATTCTACTCTTAAAAGGCCATGACTGAGTTGGCATGGAAACTAAACTTACTCTTGCCACAAGAGACAGTAGATTTTTCTAGGCCATAGCTGAAGTAGAGAAGCTTGAACTTTAATTGAACTGTCATAAATCGAATGGCTTCAGTTTCCAGCCTTCTGAGGATTAAAGTCTCTACAGAGCATGTACCATTTGGAGTTTTGTTCATATCCACAGATAACATATGCTGTGCAATAAGCAAGACTACCTTGAAGTGTTTTTGTATTGATTGTTACATGCGTTACCTCACAACATTCAAAATTATGGTTTAAGGATTAGATGTTGCTGCATAACGGCAAAATGTGGCCAGTGTCACATTGCCTTAATGTCTTGTCTGTGCACGTACGTCTGCTCTGCAGGTGCAATGTGGCATGGCCTAAGTGTTAATGCCACTGATACAAATACGGATTGTGCCATGTACTTAGTGATTTCAAAATAAATTGTTAGTTGTCCACTTATAATGCCATTTGTAGCAGTCTCTTACAAATAAGTATATACGGACGCTGCAGAAATGATCCTTCCTGTAGGTTACAGTCCATCCTGTTGTCATAAACTATGGCTTCTTTTCCAGCTGTAGTTTCACTTACTTCATTGCTCTCTGAATGAGATACTGACTGTGGATTGTGGCTTTTTTGTGTGGCTTTCAAGTAAAATGCAGGATGAAAGTAGCTTGCTTTCAAAAAAACTAATGCGTTGCACTCTTGACAAACTTGACAAAGTCATGTATTAAATAAGTTTGTGAAAAACATCCACTCTTGCTTTATGGGAGGTCAGAAACTCAGGTCTCACAGTGTGCTGCTAGATGCTACTGGGCAAGTTTATTGTTCCTGTAAAGTAATTCTATGCAGTTAGCTTTCTAAGTGGCAGCATCTTGCCCTTGTGTTTCCTTTTGTCAAATGATGATAGTACTGTTAGGTAACATAGTAACTTGAAACCTTGGACCTTATATTTTACTGGAAAAATAATTACTTTCTCAAGACTTAGACCGTGCATAGAACTAATTATTCTGGTGTTTAAAGTCAAAGAACAAGGGAATGAGCAATGAAGAAGGGAGCAAACAACTAAGCAACTTGCATTGTGCAGAGGGAATATTTTGTAAGTTGAGATGCTATCTGCAGCGTAAATATGAGGGTTACAGCACCTATGAACTAAGTAATTTGTTGTTTGTCAGAACTGGAGTATCTTATTGCTTCACAGTCATCTAGGAACAGTTGAAAAAAGTATTAATCGAATGCACATTTTCAAGAATATTTGGGGTAAATGCCTGGAGGATTATTTCTATGAAAGTCAATGAAGTTGCATTATGTGGAATATTTTTGAGTAACTTATTTGTTCAGCATCACTGAACAAAATGCTAACTGCTTACTAAAATGCTGTTTTCAGCCATTAGAAAATCTCCTATTACATGAGTGAAATTAGTATCTCATCAGTTTTCATCTGGAAAAAGGTACTACTGATTTTTTTTTTAATGGCATATGTGGTTAGTATTTGTGTCTATTTGTGACACTAGTTAAAATGAAGCCTTCACTTAGTATGTTTTTCTAAAGAACAAAACTTGTAACACTAGTATTCTGGCATATGTATTGTAGGTTATCTTTCGACTCAAGTTTTTGACTTTTCATTTTTTTAATTTACCTTTAACAAGGACTGCAGATAAATTACCATAATATTATAAACTTTTAAATGCTAGAACTGTGAACTAAGCAAGTAATTCTCCACCAGAGGGCAGTGGAAGTGTGAGAGGAGGCGGTGGTGGTAACGCTAGAGAGATCAAGATTAAGAAAACCAAGAAGAAAGGAAGGAAGGATGCTGACAGTGATGAAGAGTCACAAACAACTAGCACAGGTATGTCATTTTATTTTGGGCACTGTCTACTCATAGAGACATGTTTATATCACCTGCTTTTCATCATCTCTAATTTCCCCACTATGTTGGTAAGGTCAGGTAAAATCTCAAAGAATATGAGAATACTATTCAGTTAGAATTATATCAATGGATATAATACTGCTATTTACATGAAATGTAAATACATATTCACTGAATAGTCTAACTTAGTCTCTGAAAAAGAAACCGAAGTAATGGAAAATAAAGCAGATATTTTTAAATTTTGATTTTATGTAGGAAATGGTTTGGATTTCAGGATGAAAGTAGTGTATATAAATACCTAAAGGGATGGTGCAATTAAGACAGAACCAGGCTTTTCTAAGTGGTGCCCAGTGCCAGGACAAGAGGCAGTGGAAATAAACTGGAACACAAGATGTTTCATCTGTTCAGTAAACACTGTTTACTGTACAGATGATGAAGTGCTGGCACAGGTTTCCCGAAGTGGTTGTGGAGCCTTCCTCCATGGAGATACTCAAAAGCTATCTGGACATGGTACTAGGAAAGCAGCTCTGGGTGGCTCTACATGAGCCTGAGGGGTTGGAACAGATGACCCTCCAGAGGTCCCTTCCAACCTCTACCATGCTGTGATTTTGTGATAGGGATATTGTAGTTGGTTTCTTAACTCATGCTGAATAGTGTATGATTAATAAAGTAGTTCCCATCCATTTCCAAAGCCTGGTTTACTTAAACAATTCATAGCATTGAAATACTACTTAGACATTAGTCCTCATAAGCATAAAAATACAGGTTTAATTTTTTAAAATAAGATTCATCTTGTATTAATGAGACTTTTACATCTTAGCTAGCTACCTTTGTAAGCCTACATTTTAGTGGCAGAAAGTAGGTGTTATGAAGGCCCATCAGTGAGACTAGTTTTAGATCTGTACTATAGGAGGAGTTTGAATCATTCCCTACTGGTGCCCATTTCTCCCTGCTGATTGTTAGAAGAAGGAGCATGGAGGCTTCCTCATAAGCAGATGCTTACATGGTTAGACTTTTATTAAACAGTGCTAATTATGTGTTACTTCTTTAATTCAAGTACCAGATGTGTGCTTCCATTTTATATGTAGTATCTAGATTTCTAATAGTGACTGCAAAACACTTCTAAACATATTTGAAGTTTTGAGGCACAGTGTCTTAATTTTAGGTGATACTACTCTCATACTTTCCTGTAATTCACATATAAATGAAGTTATTTTTCCAGATTGATGAGTTACTGAGTAACACAGTGTTAAATAAACCTTTTTGTGTGTGTGTGTGACCTTTCATGTTTTACAGTTGTTGCTAGTTGTGCTGTGTTATAATAAATAGACTGAATTAAATAGTGTTTCATGAATGCTGTTTGATTAACTTCATTTTTGAGTTACTTCCTGTACAGGAAAAAAAATACTCAGTCATCATATTCATGAACTAAAATCCCAAGATAAATTCAGATGTAACCATTCAAATATAAATAACACCCTTCCAAAAACTGATCTAAGTCCCCTTTCCATCTGTTTTATATAGTCTTCTATGTTCTTCATTGCTACTGTAGCAGGACTGGAAGACTCATTGATTTCCTTTCAGTTACCTTACATGCCGAATTACCCTATTTTATCCTGCAGCTGGAATATGCAATGCCTCTGCTTTTCCAGTTCCCTGTCATCATCCCGATCTCATTCTTAAGTGTAAAAACTAACATCTGCAGCATGCAGATGAACTTAATATATTGCCCAAAACAAAAATGCAGATGCAATAGTTTATATGCAGCATAGAAAGTGATCTTAATACCTGAATTTCGTCCTAATTTTCTTACTGTATCCTGTCTGAAATTTTATGTAATCTTGAACTATAACCTCAAGTTGAAGATACTCTCTGTTACATGATCATCTACACTACTAACTGGGTTAAAAAATATATCTTGTGAATAATAATATTCTATTCAGTTTTGACATTTAAAAAATATCTGTTTGGTCTTGGTAAGGTCATCCTTCCCAAATATATAGGCCAGACAGTTTGAAATCTTCCACCAAAATGTTTTTGCATATTTCTTAAGTTGTCTGTAACAGAAAATAACTGATCAAAAGAGATTTCATCAGTTTTTCATATGTACAAAATTTTACTGTTGTCTGTAGTCATCCTTTTCTTTGTGTTGGTAATGCATTTCTTCTGAGGATGTTTGAACTATGAGGCGTTTCAGTGTCTCATACCACAGAGTAACTAAAGCAATGTTAAGTATAGAGTTTTGACAGTGAATGTTGTTTATGGCTACTACAGATAGGAATAAGCACATGGAGTTCCCTTTCATTACCCAAGAGGAAATTCAGGATGTTTTAAAGACCCGTATGCAAGACTGCCCTGAGGAGCTTATTACAGAACTTGCTGAACATCTAATAAGGTAACTTCTGCAATTCAAACAGAGTTAGAAAGTCTGTGATTCATTTCAGATGAATCTTCTAAGCAAGAAAACAGAATCAAGAGAAAAAAAATTACTGATATAAGTGAATCGATACTCTCTTTCTGTACAGATCTGTGTTATATACTTCCTTTTGTATTAGAAAGCTGTACTGTCACAGTAATGAGAAATAATGCTTCTGCCAAGCGGTAGGAAGTTCTGTGTCCCGTGTCAGGAAGAGATTTCAGGGTCACAGTTATATTTCCACACCCTTACACTGATCTATGTTGGGATTTCACCAGTGCCATCTTATGTACAGCTCTTGTATGTCGTCTGTCCTTTGTGGCACTACTGGCACTTGTGTAACCGGATGGTAAGCTAGATCAGCAAAGATGAATAATTTATTTTAAAAGATGTTCCATGAGAGAGTGTATGTGTTCAGGGCAAAAAGGACATGAGAAAACCATAAGGACTTGAGAAAACCATAAACCTTATGGGCTTGCTTTATATCATCATTCTGTGGCTTTTATGTCCCACTCACTCTGTTGTGACATAGCTTTCTCTATTGGTATGTTTGGAAAAATCTTCAGCATTTTTACATTTTGCTTAATATTCCTTTTTTTCTGTTTCATCTTCCCTGTTCTAAGACCTCTAACAAAAAGTTATCAAGAAGTTGTGCGTTCCGTTTTTACATCTTCAACATCTTCCTCTGGAGCTAGCAGAAGACAGACTATGAAGGACTTGCAGGAAGAATTCTCAAACTTGTACAACAACATTCGGTTATTTGAAAAGGGAACAAAGCATTTCACAGGTATAATAAATACATAGTTAAAATGAATACACTCCTTCAAGGATGTTGAATTTATTCCAGAATCTATATTCAGAGTCAAAGAAGAGCAACAGTTTTAAGAAAATTAAAACTTAGGAATGTATTTACAGTGTCTAAAACTGACCACCTGCTGGAGTGCACTGCTTTGCACACTTACTGAAACACATTCTCTTTACTTCATATCCACAGTCTTCATTCTGTCCAGGTCATTGTGTTCTTGGCCTTTCTTCCAAAGTGTTTGTGTCCCTTTTCAGTTTTTATTGTCTCTTTACTATTTTTTTAAACTGACTTCACTCTGTCACCTGTGTAACTAGTGAAGACAGTAAATAGCATCTGACTCTTGAGAACTCACCTCTCAACCTTTCTTTGGTTTGGTATTGAAAGTAACTGCTCCTTGTAAGTACTTTTTCAAAAAGGTATAAATTCATTTTTGCAGTGGGTTACTCTGTAATGGGTCTTTATCTACCATTATTATTATTATTATTACTATTATTATTTTTATTATTATTACAGAAAGGACTTCTCTTACAAGCAAAGACTTGTGGCTTTTCTCTTTTTTTTTTTTTTTATTGGTTGGAAACAGAAGTGCTGAATTACTAACAGGCCAACTCCTGTTCTTACCCCTGCCATTAGAGTGGTTCCAAAGAGTGTTTATCAATATGGTCATAGGTGCTTTATACATACATGCATACATGCATAATCTATAATATATATGTATATAATATGTTTATGTATAATTGTGTAAATTACATGTATGTTATTTTTATGTATTTATACATAATAATGTACATAAATATATCTACAGCATTTTCCTAATGCTGTAAATGTTTCCAAGATTCTGTGCTCTTCAGTTTTCTTTGAAACTTTCCCTGTGGAAAGTTACAGCAAAAGGAAATATTAATACACATAGAACAAATAAAAGTATTTTTGAAATAAATTTAGTTATTTCCCATTAGCCTCTGTTCTTGTACACTGGCTCTTTTTTCCTAAAATTCTGCCATTTCAGCCTTCTATCGCATGCCAGCTCATTTAGCTGCTTGTCTTGTTGACTTTTCTTTTTCATACTTTTGATATACTCATTGATTAGCAGAATCAACAGTGTGTTTGTTCATTAGCAGTTCTTGCTCATACAGATACACCTTCTTTGAAGTACTAACGGTGCATTCAAATGCTCTTACAGACCCAAAAGTCCACATTTTCACTGAAGAATGAGGTACTGTAAATGAGGGAAGATTCTCTTCATGTATCTAGATAACTTTATTGTAATACTCTGTGTTGACAGAGTCCATGATTTAGGAAGTGTTGTGATAACTGTTCATATGAATCAGCTGTAATAAGTTACTTTCCCACTTTTAATCTTCTTTTTTTTTTTTAAACAGATGAAACTCAGACTAACCTTGTCAAGCACCTGTTGAAGACTGTCTGTACAGATGTTACAAATCTTATTTTCAACTTCCTAGCATCTGATTCAATGATGACAACAGAAAATTACTCTGCCATCACAAGTGAGGTATGCAGCTATCAGTTCCTTTTTTGACAGTCTCAAATAGATCAGTGATACTTATTTAATATTTAACTTCTGTTTAAATATGCCTACAGTTAAAATAGTAACTCATATTGCAGATTGTTTCCATTCTTCTCTCATACAGGTCAGGACCAAGATTTTAGGTAAATTGCCAGAAGACACCAAAGGTCCTTTAACTAAACTGCATACTTCTCTGAATGGCAAGGTAAAGTATTCCAGAATCTTTTGAGTTCAGATTTTCTGTTCTGGTGATACTACGCTAATAAACAGCTGAAACACATAGTGTAGTACATAAATGGTGCTGCTGCTGTAAAGGCTGAAGGCAAAGTCATCTTTCAAATTTATGTAAGTCAGTGAGAGTAAGTACATTTTCATATATGTGAATTTTAAGAGGTGAGAAGGTGATCTCACATTCTGATATTGATAGTCACCTGGCTGTTTGCTTCCAGATGGACTCTAGTGTATCTTTTATGAGAAAAACAAAAGTTGGTAGAAAATCTGCAGTTTAAAGTGATTGGTGTTTCTTGTATTTACTTTTTGAAGCTCCTTATGTTCTCCCATGTATTCGTTAACTAGTATTTCTGGGTATTTAAAAAAAATAAATAAATAAAAAACAGATTATGGCAGTGTAAGTGTAAAGGAATGCAATTTATAACTTCTTACATGCAAAAGACCATTTTTAAAGAAGAAAAATCTATAAAGAATTGCAGAATGAATTCCTATTTAGTATTTCATTTTTAATACTAACATTATAATATCATTTTTGTATTTAAATATGTGAACTATTGGAAGGTGGATAAAGTTAATTTTTACTAAATACTTTTTGTTTTTCTACCATGGTTTATTCTAAGTGTATTCATTGTCATCTGTTTGGATGATTAATTATGAACAGTAGTTAGCTTATTTTCTAACCTGCTTACACAGATTACTTTTTTTTTAATAGAGTTTAGAAGATTTCCTTTCATACCTTGATTCTGCAGCAGATATTTGTGATATTATGGTGAAAAAAGGAGACAAAAAGAAAGAAAGGTACCTTAATTTTATTTATTCTATTTACACTGTGTGAAATGTAGCTTTGTTGATGCACAAATGTCAGATGGCTAGTTTGGTAGCAGTCACACAGAATGTGTGAGAGGCAGTCTTTCTTTCCAAACTGTTTAACTGAAAAATACAAAGTCAGGCAGCCTTAATTCCATGGGAGAAGTCAGAGAGGAGAGTTTGTATTTAGCTAACTTGCTTGGCTGGCTGGTTACTACAACATACCAGTTTAGGTTCATTAGGGACTTTTTCAAAATCTGAGCTACAGCAGTGCTTTTTTTTTAATCAAGAACTGGTTGATCAGAGGAGAAAGTAGCATTATTAATGTTAGAAGAGCTTTAGAGTCTATTTTAATTATTATAAGACAGAATGGGAAACATATTTTAATCTAATATATTCCTGTTTCTTAGGCAAGTCTTATTTCAGCATAGACAAGCTCTGATTGAACAGCTAAAAGTAACAGAAGATCCAGCTCTTGTTCTGCACCTGACATCAGTACTGTTATTTCAGTTTTCAACCCACTGTATGCTTCATGCACCAGGGAGATCTGTACCACAGATCATTAATTTCCTAAGCGGCAAGATCCCAGAGGTATTCCTTTCTAGCCTTTTAGTGGGAAAGCACGTTTTTTCTATGACTAAACATAAAGAGTTGTGCCTCATACTGACTCCTTCTGCTGTGTAACACTATCACCTTTGCTTTTCATGTCTAATTTTTATGTGCAGAGTATGCAGTTTGTCTGATCTATGTTTCTAGTCAAGTATATCATTTCAGGAATCTCTTTTCAACATTTTTTAAATAAAATTAAAAATCCTTAAGTGATCTGTCTGTACTGTAGCTTTTGCTTTTATCTGTAGAGTCAGCTATCCATTACGGAATGCTATAAATTACTGAAAATTCTTAAAATTCTTTTTCCTCCTACTTAGAGCGTGGATGATTTTGAACTTTTCTGATTCAGTCTTACAAAAGATGTACCTCTTCAAAAATAAAGTTTCAAACTCTATATCTAATCAGCCCAAACTGATGGTGTTTACTGACTGCATTGCTTTACTGCTGCAGTGGTTAATTGTCCTGTTCCCTCAGTATGGGTGTACTTTTATTTTTCTACCTCTATCTTTCACAGAATTTAGGTTAGGTTGCAAAATACCTTGATGGAAATACATGCATCACTAACCTTTTTTAGACAAGAATGGAAGAATGTGTGTGGTTTTTTAACATTTATTCTTCAATTAATTAAAAGTTTGTGTACATTCTCCATAATGTTGACATTTCTTTTTGTTGTTTGTTTTTTGTTGTGTTTTTTTTTTTTCCCCTTTAGGATCAGCATTCTCTGTTAGTCAAATACCAGGGATTAGTAGTGAAACAATTGATCAGTCAGACTAAGAAGACTGAACAGGGGGTCAGCGATGAAACAGAAGAGGACGAAGGAGCAGATGCCATTCGGAAAGAGCTCCAGGAAATCACTACCTCTATCAAAGATCTTGTTCTCAGACCTAGAAAATCTTCTGTAACAGAGGAATAAAATGATTATTGAGTGCATCCACATCTGTGATATACTCAGATGTATTTTTTTTTATCCTGAGGGGAAGGATAGGAGAAAATGCTTGAAAAACTTCCAATATTTGGCTTCTCGCAAATCACAGCCAGGGAACACAGCTGTTGTGTGATAGTGACAAATGGAGTTTTGTTTATGTACTACTGCAGCATACCTGTAACATGCATAATAATGTATTAGATGTAGGTATGACAGAGCGCAACTGTGGGTACTTTGGGTATGAAAACAGTGGTTTTTTTAATTGGCAACTTCGAATGAGACCTCAAGAAATGGTTATTTTTCCTGTAACACTGTTCTGTTACATGCTTCTAGTTATGCTCTTCTGATTTTGATTTATAATGATAAAAGGATTGCATATAAGTTTATATAAGCCTATGTATCAATCTCAAAGACTAGTTTTGAAATGATAATATTGCTATAAATGGTGTACAAATGAAAGGCCACTTTTACTTTTTGATATCATGAGTGGTTATTTTCAGCTTCTGTTCACTAAACTGCAAGAGTAAAAACACTTGAGTACAAGTTTATGTACCTAAACTTAAGTGACTCAGTATTAATGTGAGTTTCTAAAGGTACTGAAAGCTTTCAAAAATCAGCACACCCATACCATTCATGTGTTAACATCAATAATAGCAGTTCATTTAAAACTTGTAATTGGGACAGAAGAGGCAATAATCTTTTGCACTAATATTTTGAGGGTGAAGAAATAGTGTTGCACCAGCCATATTTAACATACTACATGTTATTCAGCAGTCTTGTTGATTTCTCAGTCCAGTTCTGGTTGCAGTTTGAAGGCAGCTGCCTTGAGGGAACTTCTAGTATTCTGTTTACCCTGAGTTTCTTGAAAAAAAATTTAAAAGTTAACTTTTATGATATTTTTACATAAACTTTATGGACTGAAATTTGTTTTTTCTAACCTGAAATAGCAAAATATTGTTAAAAGTGTTTCACTCAAGTGTTTTACCTGCCTTATTTTCACAAGTACTTTATGTATTCAGGAAAGCTGAAAACGTGTAGATTAAATAAATTTGAGTTCTGCCACTATTTATGACATAAAACTTGTCATAACACTATGTCAAATTAATTTCTGATTTGCCACATTAAATAAGGTCACTTTAAAACCATAAATGTTTTAGTTGTATCAAATCCTTTTTAGATTTATATTACTTCAGTAAGGCCCATTGCTTTCACGTGTGTAATTGCAGGTTTTTGCATAAAATCAAATTTGAGTACTAAGACAAGAAAGCATTCTTTTCACTGAAAAAGTTGCTCAACCAAATTTCCAAAATTCTTTGATGCTGAAAGAAAGCAAATAGATTCTGTGCAAGTCCTACTTTGTTTAAATACTTTGTCAGCAAAACAAATACCATTCATGTATTCTACATGCTTAATCAAAATTATCTGCAATCCTGAAATTAATTAGAACAACAAAAGTTGACGAGGTGAGGTACAGAAACTCAGATTAACCAAGGTTGAGTTAATTTTGATAATGTACTTTTATATCTTTAAAATTGTTTTTTACCTTACATTTAACGATGTTCACATCATAATTCTGATCTTTTACCCACTGCAAGAAAAAAGCAGTGTGCTAGTTGTAAGGCAGAAGCAAAGGTAGTTGTTTGTTTTTCTTTGGATGGAGGCTATCTTAGATGACATTAAAGGACAGCGAGGAATAAGAGAAAAGTAGTGTTCTGGCTCTTCAGCTTTGTTTAAGAAAAAGTTTGCATACAGTGAACAGGCTTGATTTGTTGTTATTTAGCCAGAATAATGACAATTTTCCTATACTGAATGTAAACGATTTTATATAACACGGATCTATTTTGTAAATAGTATGCCATATGACATTCTGTATGCAAATATGAAAATATTTTAATAACATTAAAAGAAGTATTTAAAATGCACTTTGTTGATTTAACCAATGGTTGATGATCTTGCAACTTGAAGCTTTCAAACAGCAATCAGTTATATGCCACTGTTTTATATAACATGCTGTTCTGAGCGTTCCTGTATTTTTGTTTGATTCTGTTTTATGCTGGAATAATAACTTATAAAATCTACTAAACCATGCATTAGAGTTGCTTTATGGTAGCCATTGTTATAAGAATTATAAAAACGTGTGTTCTTCTAAGTAGATGAGAAAAAGCCACTAAAATTCAGAGGTCTTTTATGGAATTCTAGAACACACAAGTTGGAAAATTTTCCCACGGATACTTTTGTTGTCTCTTAGATATGGAAAAACAGCCTTTAGTTTATGAAGTAGACATATCTTGAAAGAGAGGGAAAAAGAATATTTACAATTTCCTGAATATTATGCTAATTTGTGGGTTTTACCTCTCCCTATGAGAAATTAAAGGTTGGACTTGGTGCTTAGGGGCACAGTGTAGTGGGTGACTGGTAGTATGGTGATGGTTGGACCAGATGATCTTGGAGGTCTTTTCCAACCTTAATAACTCTATGGTTCTGTGTATGTAAGAGTATTCTTGTCTTAGAAATCAGAGGTTCAGTTCACAAAACAAAAGTGCCTGTTGGCATATCTAGGAAAATGAGAAGCGATGCACAATTACAACATTGTTACTTCGGCTTTAAGTAGTGTAAGCCTCTTGTGACCTTCACCTTAATCACCAGCATTATAGCTTCTGTGAATGCATGTACATACATACAAACATTTATAAATAGACTTCGTAGTCTCATTTGCTGCTCTCAGCAAATTGGAGTAGGTGCATTAACTTCTGTAGGCAGAAAAATATCTTTCTGAGCAGTAGCCTTTCCTTTCCCCATTACTAAGTGGCAAATTGCAACTTTTTTAGCTGGTTATTTGCAGGTCTGCTGGAACTTGCAGCCTTCTTTCCTGTTCTCTTGGCGTGCAACGTCTTTGAAACAAGAATTGGCACAAGTTTCCAAATAATAGTTGGTATTGGGGGTTGTTGTCTGGATTAAAGCATCTTAACAGCTTGCTCAGATAAAGCTACAGGCTTTTTAGGGTCTTTTAGGCTTCTGAAATACTGCTCTGTGATTTTCCTTTTTTAACTAGCAGTTACATTTCCTTAGGCCAGGAAAATGGAAATACCTACAAAACTGAGTAGATTTGTTGTTGCTGTTATTGGAATAGGAAGTTTAGTACTTACACAGAAAACATGAGAGTGATTGTACTGGGTCAGATCAACTGTCTGTGTAGCCCAGTATCGTTTCTCCAGCAGTGGCCAAAAGGGGATACCTAGGGAGGAGTATAAGCATAAGAGATGTATGTAGAGCCTCCAAATACATGCTACTCAAACATTTTGAATGATGGTTGTACTTTAAACACAGAAAATGGTAATGATCTGAAGCTTTGGGGTAAACAGGATACTTGTGAGAACAGGATTCCTTCTCTTTGCTGGCCCAGATAGTAGCATATTCAGTAAAGTGTGAAGATGTTGTCTCAGGAAAACAAATAATTTGATAATGTTTTTTTAGGAATGCTTAAATATTTAAGCAAGGGATGATACTTTGGTTGTTTTGTTGTTTGTTTGTTTGTTTTGTTTTTAATACAGTGAGATGGGAAGAGCAATTTGAGATTTTAAACAGAAACATCATTTGGTTTATGAACTCCTAAACCCTCAACGTGAAGAGGAAGCTAGGTCAAGACAGATTGCATCTGGGGTCACACAAAATAAGCTGCTTTCTATTTCAGGAAGATCAGGAAAGGATGTGAGAGCTGTATGAGACATCATCTTACTGTGATATGAAAAAGCAGCAGAATTTTTGTTCTGTTGTATTCAATTTGCACCTGTTGGCAAAAATACTTCCTTTTAAGAGCTTCTCTTGGCAAGACTTCTATTAATACAGCAATTATCTCTCCAACTAGAAAAAAATGAAAAGGATGGTCTTTGAAGTTTTAAGGAAGATAATATGGGTAGAGGAGGTTTCTGTGTTTTTCATGCTTTCTGGAAAGAACCTTCTGTGTTGGAACTAAGTGTCATTAGGTCTTCTGACAGATCAGTTTGGATAATATTTTTGTCTTGCTCATAGTTGTGGGTTTCAAAAATTGTATTTTCAGTTTTTTTCTTTTTGGTAGTAAAGGCAAGAGGAAATTTCATGATTCTCCCTTTGGACATGCATTCAGACCTAACTTCCCAATCTACAAAAATTGCAAGCTTGAAAAATTAGCATTGAAGTGCTCAATATAAATAAAGCTTATAGTTTGTACACTAGGAGGTAAAAGTTCAATCCAATTTTACTGGAAGACAAAATAAATGTGTGCAGAGTTTTAAAAAAAACATTCAGCCACAAATAGAAATGATGAATTTTCAGCAATAACAATCAAATGATCAGTCGTAATTGCAAGATACTACCCAGGATAACCTCCAGAACACATTATCCAGATTTGCCAGTTTATCAAAGAACTTAGTACATCTTTAACGTTTAAATGCTTCCTTCTTTCTTCTGCCTGTGATATGAAGCAGGTCCCACCCACTTGACATTATAGACTAAATGATTCAGATGCATTGGTTCTTGGCAGTGGAAAAATCTGCCTGGAGGTCAATAGTAGTTCATACCACAAGCACCCATCCTTGTTTTTTTCACTCTGCTTAGCTTGAGCCTTCTCTTTTAAATGGACACGATATACTTACTTTCAGCTAAAATTGATTAAAGTGCTGCATAGAGCCTGATGCAGTACTTTGCTTACAAGCTCTTCTGTGTGCTTTGTGCATGCAGTAGACTGTCTGCAAAACTTAGCTGGCCCCTCCTGTGTCCAAACAAAAAGAGATGACTGCAAGCTGAAGTAGGCCAGAACTGAGAAATATTGAGGGATAGCCTTGACGAGGCCGTGCCTACCACGAATGGTAATGCCGTATGTGCAACTTCCTGCATGCTGGAGGAGAGGCGACTTGTTCCAGCCCAGAAATTGCTTTAGTAGTGTTAGAGGAATTCAACTCGGTCCCCAAAAAATCTTTCCTTTAATTGGAGAAGTCTCTCTCCCTGCTCCCCCCCCGCCCATTTCCTGTACGCAGCAGTCATACGTTAGTAATCATGATTTTTCTGTTTCTTTTCTGAATTACAAGCCCAACTGAGGGCTGTTGGATTCATTCTGTGTGGACCACAGCGTAGTCGGGGATGAACGATGATCCATCTCTTCATTTTCTGCTGAACAGTTAGGGGATTAGGGGGTTTAACTCGAGTTTTTTAACAGAAGTGCCTTTTTTCTTTTTGACAACTGTCTGAAATACAGTCCTCCTACACGGTATGTATTTGCCATTTGTAAACAGAGTATGTCAAAAAAAAAAAAAAATTTGATTAAGTGGTGAGGCAGCTAGTTATTTGCATGTCATGAGGTCTCAGGGAAACAAACTGACCCTCAGCCTTCTTCCATCCAGCCAAATTCTGATGGGACCCTCAAATAGCTCTGGCAAAGTGTTCTGTTTCTTTTGGACTTGATGAATGCTTGTTTCTGTGCAGACGTGTAATTATTTCTTCTTCATTTTGCTGCACAAGTTACCAGGAGAAGCAGCTTAAAACCAAATGTGAGTATTGAGGCTCTTTTACATTATTCCTTTATATTATAATGATTAAATGTGGTACTGTACAAGGTAACTAACTTACCTTTTTGAGAAATGAAGCAGAAGTATTTTTTTCAAGACACAGAACTACCAATTCACATGGATGCTGCTTCTTTAAATTCTATGCAGAATTCTATACATATTAAAAAAAAAAAAAAATGATTCTGTGTACTGAAAGAGATGCCACACTTTTTTCAGATGCAATAGTTTTTGTTTTATGAATTGGCTCACTCATTAATGTAAGGGAAGATTGTCTATGGTTCCCTTTGTAATGAGATGAGGATTAATTTTGTTTACTCCACAAAACAAGCCAACATAAAGAGTGTGCTGTTTCCTATGACATTTCAATCCTCATTCTCATTTCTTAGTAAGCTTTCATAGCTATTTGCTATTGCAAGAAAACTTTCTAAATAATGCCTTTTCATGTAAGTCACTTTTTTTCTATAGTCACAAACAATATCATCGCCTAATATTGATTGTTCTTGCATTTCCTTTGAAGTAAATCCAGTTTCCAAGCTGCTATTTACAGAAATATTTGAACTTGTTACAGAAATCAAGTAGTATCTTGCAATTCTATAACTTATTTTATCTTCAATCTGTCATGTTTTTATGAACGTAATCTTGGTTTGGAATTTGAAGAGAGTGGAATTGAAAGGCTAAGCCACTGCTTGCTGAAATTTTGCTGGAATTTTGCTGGAAATGTGGGCCTATACTACAGAATTAAAAAAGAAATATGGGCAATGGGGTGGAAATATTCCTTTTAGTCTACATATATTAATTGTACTGCTACCTGATTTCACAGTGGCAATTTTTTTTTTTTTTGAATAATTGGGTCAAAATTAAATTTGGATGAAACTATCAGAACTGAATTAAAATATTTAAATAGCAATGTTGAAGATATTTTTCTTTAACTATCTCTGTTTTCAGAAGTTCTGTTTTTATATCTGGAGCTGGACACAAAGACTTTTATTTAGAAAATCAATTTCAGATGCCTGTGTTGTTTTTCTTTAATATTTTCACCCATTTTTCTTCTATTTCTGTGATGGGTTGACATTTCTAGAGTATTTGAACTAAACAGAATGTATCTCAAGTATTAGTGTTATGAGAAATTGCTGATGGTTTTGCCATGCAATTTGATAGCAGTGCCATAAAAGTCACTTTGATTCAAAGTTGTGTAACTGATAGAAACCTAAGATAACATACTAATTGTCTCTCAAGATTAGAGCAACATGAAAGCAGAAGCTACTTGAAAGAGATTCTGATCTATTGTGACCTGTGGTATCTCCGGGTTATTTTCAGGCAATCATATTTTGCTAAGTGTGTGCATTTGGCTGACTTGGTAAATTATAAGTTGACTTGGTAAAATGTAAATTCTATGGGACACATACCAATAATCCCAGCTTTCTGCATACCTTTTTTTAAATTTTGAGTTTTTAAGAAAAAAATAATTAAATCAGTATTGCCTAACCATGGACAGACAGAAAGAAATGTGAAAATCTTAACCAGTATACTTACTAACCTCAACCCTAAACTCAGAGGATGAAATCCTGACCCTGTTCAAATGAGTGGTCCTTCTGACAACTAAACAAGCTCTAAACTTATTTCAGGCTTTTAGATCATCTAGGGAATAAAACTAAGATTTTCTGCATGTTTCCCTACCAGTTAAAGGTAAGATGAAGTCTAATTCTATGATGTTCATAAAATTAATGATTTCCAGCTCAACTTTTCTATTAAAATCTCCAGAGCCCAAAGTTCAGAAGTTGGAATGACGAAATGCTCCATTTCTGCTCCTGCAGAGGAATTCACTCTTCTGGGAACAGGTTGCGCAGTTCTAGTTAGGAGGCTGTGAACTTCTGATGTCATATACTTATATTTTCCAGTAAAATGTAAGAGGGATGAAATAAGGGCAGCTTTGTAGAAATGCACTGATGTTATTCCAAAACACTGAACTAACATCCTAAAAATAACTTAATAAAACTCCGTGACTTAATTTTATGTAACAGAGATACAATGAGGGACAAAACTATTACAAAGGCTAACTAATTTCCCTTGGTTGCCTCTATAATAATGGCTAAATTAAGCTTGTGCTAGGAATCACCCTGGAGAGGAATTTCTCTCTCCTTTACCTATAAAAAGTGTCTTGTGAATTAGCCTCAGTAGGCTTAGGTTTGCTTTTGTGAATATCCCCATTTTCCTCTGATATTGAACAGCATACGTTAACTATCCCTTCTTTTTTCCCTTTCTCAGACTAAGAGGGTTTTTCTGGTTTTGCTTCATTCATGCTAGTAAGTTACTTTCCTTCTCAGTCATGGTTGCCTTCGAGTTTGAATTTGTTCTAGGTCCATATATGAGTACTGGTAAATTGTTGCACATCTCAACATATTACGGTTAAGGGATCTACGCAGGCTGCTCTGGTTCATTGCTGGAGATGCTCTTAAGACTCAGAACAATGCTCATTTTCCTATACCTGTCTTTGTATGCAGATAACAGAATTGATAGAAGGAGGGATGCTGGTGACAGCGTGGCATAACTGTGGGCAGAACGCACGTGGGAGGCCACAACTCAGCCCAGAGCCACTTTCAGCAAGATATTCTTTGCCTCAGTTCCCCATATGTGGAACTGTGTTTGTTACTTCAGGGGGGAAAAAATGAGTTCAAAACTACGTTATTGACTGGAA